GCTCAGCAGCGCCGCGAACGCCTCGGCGCCCGCAGCCCCAGGAGCCCGGCGTCTCCGCATTGTCCCCGGCCCCGTCGCGGAGACCCGGGACGAGCGTCGCTGGTGAGTACCGCGGGTCTGGAGGGCGCGGGCCGGCTGTCCGAAGCCGCCCCGAGGGACCGTGGTGAGGATGCCCTGAGCCGCTCTGCCCGTGGCGGGCACGTCCTGACCCTGGTCTCCCGCACACTGGGGCTCCCGGCGGGTCCTAGCTCCCCCCGATTGGGCTTTACTCGTATTGTTTTCGTGTTCACACACTTGGAAGGTGAGGAGCTAGCGAGGGGAGGCTAGAGGAGACATCCCTCGCGCGAGGGAGCTGTCGGGAGGGAGACGAGCCAGCGGCGCCCAGGTGCCGGGTGCCGAATGAAAGTGACAGTGTACGGCGTTGGCATTCGGTCTTCTCGGCAGCAGGAGGTCGGCGCTGACCTGCGGCGGCGGCCGCACTTTGTATTTATCGGCTGATTTTTATCAACTTCGGGGAGGGCGTGCGTGTGCGTGCGCGTGTGTGTCTGTGTGTGTGTCTCCGTCCCTGACTTGGGCACCTCCAGGCCTGGGTTTTCGGCGACGTTGCCGGCGCTCACCTTGGCGATCCGCGCCGCGCTCGGGGCTGGACACAACGGGGCGGAGAGCCTGGGGGCCGGCACACAGGGCCGGGGACCCGCGGCTGACCTGGGAGGAGGCATTTAAAGCGGCATTCTGCGCGCGCGCAGACAATGACTGGTCCGGGTGCGGGCTCCCGGGGGCTGTGCGTGGAGTCCCGGAGCCCGATCCCGACCCCGCCTCGCCCTCTCGCGGGCTCTGCCGCTCGGATGCTGCTGCGCCGCGCGGCTCACCGCCCGGTGGGGGACCCGCGTGGGGCCCGCTTTTGTTTACAGACCTCGCCATTGGGCGAGAGCCTCGCGCTGCGCTCCCCCGGCCGAGGCTGCTGCCGCGCGCCCCCTCCGAGCTGGGAGAAGTTGGTGCGTGCTGTCAGGTGACGCCCCCTCCCCCGGCCTCCTGGAGAGATGCTGCAGGGAAAAGACTAGACGGCGCCTTCGCGCCCAGTCCCCGCCGCGCACGGCGCCCCCCTAGGCCCCGTGCACCCAGAGGCGCCTTGTCCCGGCCGGGGGCTCTCTCTCAGATTGACGGCCGTCGGGGCGCTGACCGAGCCAAGCTCACCTCCCTCCCAGTAGCATCCTCTGTCCTTGCCTCCGGATCAGCCCAGGTTGATTCCAAGCCTGCCTTTTCCTTCATGCTGGCAAGTCTTGAAGGACGCGCGCGAGCCCTTGGGGACGCTGGCCAATCCATGCCCGCTTTTCTGGTACCCACGCGGCCCCGCGGAGCAGCTGTGGGGCATCCTTGAGTCCGGGCGGTAGCGATCGGCTTACCCGTGCGTGCTGACTTGGTGCACTTTGAGCTGGAGAAGAGGTTGAGAGCCTGGGCGCTGAGGTCAGACGCACTCGGGTTCCAGGATCTGCTCAGTATCACTCACAAACCGAGGGATCCAGGCCGAGCTCCTTAGTCTCCCTGCGTCTCAGTTTCCGAGTCTGTAAAGTGGGGATAATGTGTATTACCATTTGTTGGAGGCTGGGGGTGGTGGGGGTTTGAACAATAAAAATCATCAGTTTAGCACACTGACTGCCACAAATGAAACACTGGACTGTTGTTTCCCAGTTAGTTAATCTATTATAGAGGATAGACCGCTGTCTTTCCCCTTTCTGCTGTTCTTCCCTGGCTTCTGTTTTATTTTAGAAAGCTTGAAGGACTGTTTTCAGCCTCAAACAGGGCTTGTTTTACTTGGCCTTAGGTTTAATTACAGTTATCTAATCGCTTTCAGGTCCTTTTTATGTGTTTGA